AACTGAGTTGGGATGGGTGTTGTCAGAACCTCTTAAGGGAAGAGAGATAGAAGGCGCTGGAGTGACTCATAGTTCAGAGTATATATAGTGACTTATAGTTCAGAGTATATATTTAGTAGTTCAGAGAAGCTTTTTGGAGTGACAGCATGCGTGATGAGATTCCTACGTAATACTAGCGCAGGAGTAAAGAGAGTAGATAGGCAGTCTGGGGCTCTTTCAGTTGCCGAAACAATTGAAGCCGAAAAAATTTGGATTAAAGAAGCACAGACAGAACTAAAAACTGAAAAGAAGTTCACCCAACTCAGTGTGAGTTTAAGGTTGAAGAAAGAGGAGGGTACCCTTACGAGCTAAGGTAGATTAAAAAATTCAGATTTACAAATTGACAACTGTTTTCCAATTATCCTGCCAAAAGAACATAGACTGACAGAGTTGATTGTCCGAAAATTCCATCAGGAAGTGCACCATTCGGGTGTACGTGCTACGCTGTGCAGGCTACGAACTAAATACTGGGTAGTTAAGGGAAGGCAGCTGGTAAAACGAATTGTGAGCCAGTGTGTAACTTGCAAAAGATTGGAAGGAAAAGCGTATAGCAGAGCACCACAAGCAGACTTGCCAGAATTTAGAGTTAGACAGGCCGCGCCGTTTTCGCAAGTCGGAGTCGACTTTGCAGGTCCGCTTTTTGTCAAACAGTCTGGTAATTGTTCGAACAAAGTGTATATTGCCTTGTTTTCATGCTGCGTGACCCGTGCAATACACTTAGCATTAGTGTGCAACTTATCAGCGGATGCGTTTTTATGCTGTTTGAGAAGATTTGCAGCTAGGAGAGGGGCACCCAGTCTTATAGTTTCCGATAACGCTAAAACGTTCAAGGCAGCAGAGAAAGCATTGAGGAAGATTTGTAATGAGCCGAAAGTCAGATCGGAATTAGGAGCCAAACTAATAACATGGAGATTCAACTTAGAGAGAGCACCTTGGTGGGGAGGCTTCTTTGAACGGATGGTGCGCAGTGTGAAAAGGTGTCTTAGAAAGGTGTTAGGGAATGCAAAGTTGAACCTTGATGAGCTGAACACAGTCTTAGTTGAAGTTGAAGGCACATTGAATGCGAGACCATTAACAGAAGTATTTGAAGAGCTGGAAGGAGAAGTGTTAACTCCTTCACACTTGATATATGGTAGAGCAATCCATTTTATCCCACAGAATGAGGTAGTCATAGGAGCGAGTAGCTGTGGGGAGAGATTTAGATATGTAACGTTAAAGTTGCAGCACTTTTGGAAAAGATGGAAGGGCGAATATTTAACAGGACTTAGAGAGTTTCACAAGTGCACAAACGGAGGAAAGTTAAGGAAGGTCCAGAAAGGAGATGTAGTGACGGTGTTCGGAGAAGGCGAGAAAAGATGTAGTTGGAAGTTAGCAGTAGTAGAAGAGTTAATTGTAGGGAAGGATAAGGAAGTTAGAGGAGCAAAGGTTAGGCTTGCAGGTAAAGGAAAACCACGCTTCTTAAACAGACCAATTGAGAAGCTTTTCCCATTGGAAGTTCAATCTCGACCGGGTGGGGAAAGGGAGGAAAGGGATATCCCTACAGCTAAGCCAGAGGGAGACCAGCATGAACGAACAAGACGAGCGGCAGCCATAATTTCAAAAGCGAAAACAAAGGCGATGCTTGATTCATCATTCATAGACGTGTATGAATCAAGGTGGGTGGGGTGTCGTAAGTTCCCAGCGCAGATCACCAGTCCACGGAGCGCGAGTTAATATGTAGTAAAACTTATGTAAAATATCTGATTTGGGTAATGTGATCTAACTAGTAATTGTAATATGATATAGGGATATACCAAATAATGACCCATTGTATATAGCAAAATGAAATGTAATCTATCGATAATAAATCAGAATATACAGTCCCTTCGAGTGTGAACGTTTGATGAACCAGAAAGGCAGAATAAACGAAAGATTCTGCAACAGAGGGACTATCTTAGCGCCCGTCGAATTGCAAACTTCTGATTACTGTACAGCAGAGGACAGGTCTTTCGACATTAAGACTAAAGAAGCCATGGCCGTAGAGCGGGTACTGCGGGCTTTTCACGATCATGTTCGCGATTCTCGTGTAAATGTCTTGGTGGATAGTCAATCAGTCATTCATGTGTGGGAAAATCGTGAAGATCGTAGTCACGCTCTGAATAATGCGATAAACAACCATTGATCTCAAAGCCCTTGTCACCTTCACGTACGTTCCCACCAATGACAACCCGGCTGATCGGCCATCACGTAGGTTATCGTTCAGACTGTAAACTCACACCCTCAACGTGGAACCTCATCCAACAGCAATTTGGTGGGATTGAGGGGCATTCTTGTGACCTTATGGCCTTGGACTCAAATGCTATGACTGACAACGCTGGCAAGTCTCTTCCCCATTTCAAGCCTCATCCATCACCAGCTTCCTTGGGAGTGAATTTATTTGCACAAGACCTTACCTTATACCCCATTCACATGCACCGGTCTTATGTTTTTCCTCCGTTGATCTTGATGGGCCCCTTGCTTCGATTTCTGTCTTCTTTCCACCAGCCCTGCACCGTCGTTGTCTTAGATACATACCCTCGTAAATATTGGTGGCCACTATTGCAATTTTTGGCAACGACAGCGTGTAAAGTTGCGTCGGCAGGAGCTTCGGATGCCCTCCAAAGAAGGATGGATACAATATTTGAATATCCCGGGTGATTTATGGGCTTTTTCCGTGGAATTTCGTTGATGAACTTATTTCTGTATTGTAACCGCTCGTATATATTGGGTGACTTTGGGGGCAACTGTGGTTATGTTTGTATACTTTGTTCACCAGGGTTAAATACATATATCTTTAACTCTTATGCTTATTGTTGTCCGTTCATTCTTCTTCATTAGGATCTTCCAGTGGTAGCAAAGTTATTTGTTCCGTCTGTACCATGCCCAGTTTGAAGCCATGCAAACGATCACGATTTTAGATTCTGCCAAAGCTGTGGTTATGTTCGAAGAGTTTTGACACCCGTACACACTGCGACGCTTCTCGTTGATCGCAGTCAAATTGATAAGAGACTACAGCAGTTGTTAGATTTTGATCGGGCTACCAGTTATTCAAAACAAAAGGATTCTCTAAGAAAGAGTTAGAATCATTCTTGTCGGTCCTTCCCGGACATATTACGTTGGCAACAAGAACACCGCGCGATCTTTGCCATTTTATAATATTTAAGGATCGTCATGGCAAAACCCAGGCCCACCGCAATGGCTGCCCTCATCTGGGAAAAAAAGGAAAACACAATTGTTCCTGTCCCTTCCCCCTGTCCTATAAGACCGTGGATTCTTATATTGGGAAATTGCGCGCCATTTTGGGGATGGCGAACAATATATCTTGGGGATGGTTCACAATGTGTTCGGAATCAGGCGAAATGCTCAGCTTAAGATTTGCCCCATTTGCGGCATTGAATGCTATATGGATTTAGTATACACCCGACTATTGTCTATTACAAATCCTACATTCTAATTGGCTACTCAACCATTGTCTATTCGTGATGGTGCACACTTGGGAAAATTTCGCTCGCGCGACCGTATAAAATTGGGTTATTTTTCGGTGTAATTGCGGTGTATCGATTATTTTCTCGAAATTAATATATCTAGGTACAGGGTGGATACTAAAACAATTAGACAACTCGCCTTCGTTGTCTATGAGCGAATAGTCAACTCAGGCTTCGCCTTCGCTCATAGACAACTCGGATTAATTACCTAATTGTTAAATAGTGCGTCAATTGGGTATTGACCTAACCCGTGGATATATTTTCCGGCCGGTGACACCTAATAAAGGGATCCAAGACTCTCCTTTGAGCTCCTCGGCCGCAGAGGCCAGACTCAAGGGTTATATGCATGTATATATACGTGCGTGAATGGCACCTGATACCTCTGGGAATTTGATTGAGTGAATGGCGGAATAATTATAACTTCCCGATCGGCCAAATAAGATAACACGGCGAAAATAAAGCAAAACAATTCCACACAAATAAACGGTTTCGTTCTATTTTACATGAAAAGCTACGACCCTCGCTCTTCCACGTGTCCTCGTGCCATTTTGTTCCACGCAAATAATGGTTCGTCGACAATCCTTGGCGTAGCACATCAATGTTCTGGGGCGGAGTGGAAAACACTTAAGATACCCCCATATAAAAAAAATCGCAATGGGGTTAAGTCGAGCGATTGAGGTGGCCAATCCACGTTACAGTGCAACGCGATTCTCTCGGAACACATCGTTAAGACGATCTCTCATGCACTTCAACAAGGCGATGTGCTGGAGCGCCGTCTTGAACACACCATAAACCCCTGAACCGTCCTTCCTAATACTGATTGTTGAGGAAAATGGGAAGTTGTGGGAAAGCAAATTCATTCAATATTTGGAGATATGCAAGGCGGTTTACGTTCCCATAAAAAAGGCCCCAAAAAACGCCATTCCCGCAAAGTGCTGCCCAGGCAGTGAGCTTTTCGCGAGAATTTGAGCGTTCAAAGTTGAAGGCCGGAGGGTGTCCCTTCGGTGCATACTCGAGCACATTTTGAGTGTTCACTACCTATTCAGTGCAAATCCCGTTTCGTCTCCAACAATTACGCTTTGCAAAAAATTCGGGTTTCGACAGCGTTGATTGAACTTCTGGGCGAAGCGTAGTCGATGCGGTAAGTATACTGACCGCGGAACAACGAGTGTTAATTTATTGTGATAAGACAAACAAATTTTAGTGCATCATGAATAAAAATGCTTATGGCAAACATATTTATACACTTGTGGGTCCCAACAGAGTGCTTAGGCATTGAAACTCTAACAATTACATTGTTATGGGTGATTTTATGGGTGACATCTGTTTCTGCAAATGTTCATCATGTGTTTTATATATTCTTCTATATCAACGAATATATGAATATTTTCATGCCTCTCTCATTAGCCAATTACCTCTGAGAATAGTATGCCATATTAATTATGTCTAAAAACTCACCGCAACACCAGTAAAAATTGTTCCACTTGATTTCCATGGTGACCATCCTCCACCATGAAACCTCCCTCGAACTTGACAAAATACCTGTTGGAAAGTAAAGTATTATTATGTGATCATATAAATCGGCATCGAGAAAAAGTTGGCCAATTCAACATTTTAACGATTTTCGTCTTGTTTCTAAAATTATATTATAATATGCAATAAAGTGCTCATAAACTCAAAAATGTCCAATAATTAACACTGCGCTTTTCCGTAATAACGGAGGAAATTTGCAGTGACGCAGAACTTGTAAGCGGGCAGCTGCACTCTTGCCTTTTACCAGCAGGTGCGAGAAGAGGCAAATATCTTTCAAATTTGAAAGCTAGGATTATATTTTATGTAAATACGTAGAAGGTCAACCAGTAGGGCTTCAAGAGTAGCATGGTATAGTGAACAACTTTCAAATACCGAAATCACTTCGGAAAGAAAAAACAGGATGAAACGAAGTTCAACAGAAATTATATTGCAACACTACAAAGTACAAAAGTGCCCTTCGAAAATCTGCTTCCCCCCAGCCCTCGCATCGTCACGGCGGCTCTACAAATTTCTCCAACAACAGGCCAAAATTTTTGTGATAGTCTCATAACCAGAAATACAGGACATTAATTACCATAAAAGTTCATAATGTCAGGATTTCGCAATCAAAGATGGCTGCCTTGTTATAATAGAATTATATAAGGCACGAGAAAAAAATTTGAAATTACAGCAACTTCTATCCACAATTGCAGTTCCGGAGTTCGATTTAACACGGACGGAAACTCAGTACTTTTATGACAATTTTTTCATATTTTTATCTTACCTTTAACAGGTTCCCAGTAATGTCATCTCAGCAACGCGTTAGCTCCTTGAAATATAATGGTTAGCAAGTTGATGAGATGACATTACTTGGGAACCTGTTAAAGTAAGATAAAAATATGAAAAAAACTGTTATAAAAGTACTGAGTTTCTGCCCGTCTTAAATCGGACTCTGCAACTGCAATTTGTAAGACAGAAGTTGCTTTAATTTCAAATTTTGTCTCGTGCCTTATATAATTCTGTTATACAAGGCAGCCATCTTTGATTGTGAAATCCTGGCATTATGATAATTAATGTCCCCACTTGACCTGTCACAATCAGGGGTGTAACTAAAACAATAATCGCGGGGGATGTTTATTGATATGTTCAGTTCTGTCCTACGGGTTTTTTATTTTATAAGCTATTGCAATTACAAAAGAAATATATGAATAAGCACATCTCTTCCGCCTAGTAAATTAATAAATATTTTTGTAGCCTTTTTAACTTGTAAAAGGAGAAGCTGCTCCAGGTTGCTCGAAACCAGAAAGGTTACTCAAAAGTTGCCAAGCACAATCTGTAGTAGCCTAGTACAAACCCTTTTGTTCCATTCATAACCACGTTCATCCCATTCTAGACTTCCATTCACTCTATTGCGAAAAAGTTGTCTTTCGTAAAGATTTTCGTAATTATTTTTATTTGCAGTCCCGTTAAACATATGTTGAATTGCGTGTGTAGTTTCATTAGAATCTTTGAACCACTTGACGTGAAATTCAACATGAGAGGCATCATCAAAGTAATCCCAGAAACATCTTAATGAAACATATTCTCTATCTTCATCTTTCGGTCGTACTTTTGGCCTCATTATATTAGGAACAACACCTGTAAAAATAACGGAATGGTATTGAATCATTGAAAATTTCGTTATGTAATCGTCGTCATGCCTGTCGCATGTTCATTCGTTACCATAAAGAGGTTAAGATACCCCAGTTTTGGCGTACGGGTACCGGTAGGCATATTTTGTTCATTGGACTTTCTTGTCGTTTTCACATTTCATGATACAAAACAAGAATTGTCGAGGTAATCTTGGAAAAATATTGAGAAATACTGATGGAAATTCATTGAACAAAATAAGGCTACCCGTACAGGTACACCGGAACCGGAGTATCTTTACCTCTCTCATGTGACCCCCGTTCGGGGTATAGAAATTAGCGCGCAAACCAGAGTTGTTTAGGACTTTAATCCCCCATGAAATTCACTCGGTCAGTGAGATATTCCTAGTCAAAATATCTAAGATCGACATCGGCTGCGAAGGTGCTGTCTATCAAGATGACATGATCGTGTGGGGTGCAACCAAAGAAATTCACGATAAACTGTATAAGGTTCTCGACAAAATTGGAGATAGCGGACCGAAGCTAAAATCACGCAAAGTGTGTTTTCATTGCAACTGAGATCACCTTTTTGGGTCATATACCATGTCCGCCGTCCCAGTGAAGCGAGACCCAAGGAAAATTAATGCAATTACTAAGATGCCAGTTCTAACAACCCATTAACCGTCTCCCCTGTCGCCAAGTTAGCAATCTTATGATCAACATTTTACCAGTTCTACAACCTGGCATAATGGCATTACAGTTCGCGTAGGAACCGAAAAGACACCGATTGCTCGGAAAATGGTAAAGTAGTGATATCGTATTCCGAATCAACAAGGAAACGTTGTCCGTCGAAACAGACGACATCTGCCAACGAAAGAGACATTTAGAGTCGAGAATGACAAGGATGACAATGACCTGAAATTGCCAAGTAATCCATCTACTTACAGACTTTAGCAAGCTAGTGTTCACAGTTCACTGACGAAAGAAGGGTGACGTTAGATTGACCCGTTGGATGGACAAAAGGGTGCCTTTAACAATGAAGCGCCAATAGAGACGACAGCAAGGAGGGGGTGGCATGTATTGGATGTCAAGCAACCGGTACCACACCTTCAAACTATAGGGTACCACTACAAATGACCAATTTACCAGAGGGGCCGTGGGAAAGAGTTAGTATGGACTTTGCAGGAACGTTACTTAATAAAGATATTATCCTGGTACTATTGGACCAATACGCCAAGTTTCCAGTGGTGGAAATTGTCACACAACGACAGCAGAATCAACGTCACGTGTACTGGACTAATCCAAAGAATAATCCAAATTATCAAGAAAAGTGCGAAGATAGCTAGAATGGAGGGAAAGAACATACTGCTGGAGATCCAAACAACTATAAGAAGTTATCGGGACACCCCACATGCTAACACCGGTGAGAAATGTAATGTCGTGGTATCTTACCATAATGATATTCATCATAAGTATATGTAAATTACGAGTATTCAAAATAACTATGAATTACGAAATAGGGAAACTGATTTGATTATCCCTAAACCTAAGAGCGAATATCTTAAAAAAACTTTAAAGTATAGTGGGGCTGTAACATGGAATTCGTCTCTACAGATGCAAAGCTATCAACTACTTTAAGTGCATTTAAAAGGCATCTTGAAGCCTAGTTTGATCAATAACTATTATCAAAGACCTTCTAAGAAACCTGCCATTTAAAGTTTTATTTTTTTTTTTGTAAATATGTTTCTATTTCTGTGACGCTTCTCAGGAAGAACATCAATTTTGATGATGAGAAATGCGTCAGTAAATAAATTGTTTATGTATGTATGTATGTATGTATGTATGCAGGACAAACGAAGATATGAAAGGGCCAAAACAGTGCTAGAGCAAGTAGGTCTTTTCTGTAAAACTGTCGAAGCCCACGGTGAACTGTCTGTAGGTTTTACTAATAAATCGCAAAAGAAAACTCAATACTCTAGTCTCTACAGCGATGTTCCAAGAACAGTCGAGTTAAAGAATTTTGGACATTATTCCAAAAATTTTTTTTGCTATTTTAAACACTTAAAGTATTGTACAGCAAGGCTACAGGGCTGATTTTCTTCAAAAATATATACTTTTGGTGATAAAAGCTCTCAAAGTTACCTTATCTAAAAAATTACCCCATAGCAACGCCTTAGCAACGCATTTAGGTACCAATTCATTTCTAACCAATTTTTTTGGTTTCTCCTTTCGGCGTATGTAATTTTGAGTTGTATTATGCAACTGCAATGCAGTGAACTCAAAAGAACTGGAAGGCTACCTCCTGATTAAAATAGCCAAAATTATTGAAGCCAAATTTTACCTCCAGACACGCGTGTTTTACCTCCAGACACGCGTGTACATGTTGCGAGACATTCTCGCGAGGGCCTTTTCAGGAGTGAACATAAGGAAAACATGAACCGTTTAGCGGCGAGGTTACATTCGTTCGGATTTATCGTTCATTTTAACGATTTAGGCTATAATTTTGTAATCAATGCTGATTAAAGCATACCTCGAACCGCGGCGTGGTGAAATTATAAGGAAAATGTAAACAGTTTGTTCGAAAACGATCACTACTTCAAAAAGGTTTGCAGGCAACAAAAAAAATATATATATATTTTGCTGTTATGTGCTCATAAAACATATAAAAAAGAAAATTTAGGTGTAGTTTGTTAAAAAAAATATTGTTAGAATGTTTTTTCGTAAGTTTCAGAGGGATTAAATTGATAAACAATGAAATTAGATAAGTGAATTCACACAAACACTTTTGAATTGTCCCGGCTTTACTCCTCGTTTAACGTTTTTCATAAGAAAGAGCAATTTAATTGCGAGTTTGATACAGATAAATTTAGTATACTTTACTCTGTAGTTTTCACGGATGCTTTTATCGTAAAAATACTGTGCAAAACGCACTTTATGTTCTCTAAAAGATGTTTTTAGTGCTTTCATGTTGAAGTATTATTTTTGAAGTTTCAAAAAACCGCGTGTTTAGTTGCGTGAAAAGACTGGGCATGACCCCAAAATTTGGCTTCAAATCTCCGGCCGGAGGTAGGGTCGGCGTTAGATCATATCGAACTAACGTACATGACGTCATAAATTTTGCAATAACGGAAGTATAATAACAGAAGTCTTACATGAAGTCTTTCTAGAGCTGGTTGATAAAAATGATAAAATAAAAATGGCGATGAATGATGATACATTTATACATTTATAAATGTACACGAAAGTGTAAATGTCTGTTACCCTCATACCCAGTATAGGAGTGATCATATACTTATGTAATAGTATCTCTGGCTTTACCTTAATTACGGTTAGGGTTAGGGTTATTGAAAATTTTATGACGTCATGTACACGCGTAAAAATCATCATGTTGATGCAAGTTGTTAAAAACAGGAGCGAACAATGTTGTGCTGCACCCTGTGAACGGTATTGTTAACGATGTTGTTGAAGCTTGTTGAATCATCAATGTTGTTGCAACTTGTTACAACAACATTGCATCAACATTGATGACTCAAAAAGCTTCAACAACATTGTTAACAATACTATTCCCAGGGTGCAGCACAACATTGTTCACTCGTGATGCGACAACCTGATCAATTTTTGGCCGTGTACGTTAGTTCGATATGATCTAACGCCGACCCGGAGGTGGCCTTCCAGTTCTTTTGAGTTCAATGCTGCAATGTGATTGGTTCCTTCGGGGAGCCATAGCAACGGCGTTCTTTGTCTGCCTTGTGATCGATCGCATGAGCACGCTGTTAGAAATCATCTACAAAATTCTTTGTTTTTTCGCACATTCAAAACTGAAAACTTGCTGTTTTAGTTTTCTTTAAACACTACTTGTTGTTTTTCATTGTATTTTAAAAACAATAAATGGGAAACATTAAAAACAGAAAGAGAAAACGGGCTAGACATCAGGAATACAGGAAAGAAATTCAAAGATGGCGTACCTTGTGAGAAAGAAGCTGGCTCTTACGGGGCGAAAATCGCCGCCGAGAGTGCAAAAAATGCATACTGCAGAGAGTCTTGATAGAATAAGGGAAGGAACTGTTTTTATAGATCTTTCTATTTTATTTGGCGTCTTGGATTGCCTTTTGAAATGCCCTGACTGTTCTGGCGATGTAAAGTCTCATGTTTACATGAAGAAGAAGCATGGATTTTCTCACTACATTGTTATAGAGTGTGTGGAATGCGAGTGGAAGTATTGTTTCCACACTTCAAAGAAGCAAGGACAATCACACGAAGTAAATGTTCGAGCAGTCCTGGCTTTCAGGGAAATTGGGAAAGGAGACAATGCTATGGTAACATTCACCAAAGTTTTGAACATGCCTGCTCCTATAACACGTGACAATTTTACCAAAATCCAGAACAAAAAGGTTTTGCCTGTGGTAAAACAATGTGGAACTGATAGCATGAAGAATAATTCTGTGCAAGTGAAAGATGTTATTGATAATGAAGATGGCGAATGCGGTGTTTCTATAGATGGTAGAAGCAAGGATACTCTTCACACAATGGTGTCGTTACAGTAATATCACTGAACACGAAAAAATGTCTTGATGTCGAAGTGCTTTCCGACAAGTGCCAGCAATGCTCAAATGGAGCAACAAGACAACTGACCCAAAATATGAAGAATGGAAGGCAACTCATCAGTGCAAGATTAACCATACGGGGAGTTCTGGAAGCATGGAGACAGCAAGTGCACTAAGAATGTTTGAACGGTCATGTGCAACAAGAGGGCTAAAGTATAAAGTATAAAGATGTGCTTGGGGATGGCGATTCAGCCACATATACCTCTATCCTGGAAAGTAAACCATATGGAGAAGATTGTTTACCAAACAAATTAGAATGCATTGGACATGTCCAAAAGAGAGTGGGAAGTAGATTGCGCTAGAAAGCACTAACAAAGGTAGGAAGCTCTCTGATAGTAAAGGTACTTCGGGTAAGGGAAGACTAACTGATGCCAAGATAGCTCTACAAAATTACTATGGCTTAGCA